TCGGTTACGATGCCTAGAGTACGGGGACCTGTACGATTTCGTCAACTTAGTGAGTTTGATAGGGGCCGTATAGTGGGACTTCGGGAAGCTGGACTTTCTTTTCGGGCAATTGCAGTTAGAGTGCAAAGAAGTGTAAACACTGTGGTTAGGTGTTGTCAGGCATGGCTTCGAGAGGGCCGTACGCAAAGAGCACTGGACGCCGCCGTAGAACAACAGACCGTGAAGATCGCCGCCTAAGCTTATTGGCCTTAAGGAACCGTTTCTCCACTACCAGGTCCATTGCAAATGAATGGTTTGCAGAACACGGAAGACCTATTGGCATGCGAAGTGTTTACCGACGAATGAGAAGTTTTGGCTTGTTTTCATACCGGCCACACTGGGTCCTCCCTTTAACTCGAGAACACCGACGTAATCGCCTTATGTGGTGCAGACAACGGTCACTCTGGGATCAGGAATGGAACAGTATTGTCTTTAGTGACGAGTCTCGATTTTGTTTAGGCATGCACGATGGTCGTGCCAGGGTTAGAAGGCGACGTGGTGAAAGGAGGAATCCACAGTTTTTTGTTGAAAAACATGTTCATCACACTGTTGGAGTTATGGTTTGGGGTGCTATAGCTTATGGTTCCAGGTCACCTTTAATCTTCATCAGAGGTAACATGAACACGCAGCGTTATATCCACGAAGTTCTAGAATCCCATCTTTTACCCTATCTTGACGCCCTGGCAGATCCAACTTTTCAGCAAGATAATGCCCGACCACATGTTGCAAGAGTCACAATAGACTTCTTTCAACATAATGATGTCACATTGTTACCATGGGCACCAAGATCTCCCGACTTATCCCCAATTGAGCACATGTGGGATATGATGGGTAGGAGATTGCTCAATTTGCAACGTCCTCCTCAGACTCTAGAAGCACTTCGAGAGGAGTTGGTGGTTGCCTGGAATGAGATACCACAGGAGGACATTCACCACCTGATCAGAAGCATGCCTAGGCGCGTTGGAGAATGCGTAGCACATCAGGGTGCATCCACACATTATTAAAGGTCAAAGGGCTTCAAAGCAGTGCAGTCATTTTGAAATTTTTATCATTTACTTATTATGCTCCATTAAGTACTTATACAAAATTTTATTAAAATAAAACTATTTGAACTGGGTGTTCGGATTTATATGTCACTTAGTATATAAATCAAAAGTGTCAACAATTTGATGAGAATATGTAACATAACCTCAAAACAGAGTCTAAGGGCCGTATCGTCAGTTGTTCCTACAATTGTAGTACGTCTTTACGGCCTCCTTGATTCTCATACTTTTCTACTGTTCCGTGTCAGTGCTCTATTTTGAGGTTATATTACAAATGAAGAGCACACGGGAAACGCTTTTGGCAAATTTTGAGATAAATCGCTTTTGAAGTTTGAAAGTATCCTGTTACTACATACTGAAACAAATAAAGTATCTATGTGTCTTGACTAGACGATTTATTATCGTTTTAACAGTAACTAACAGTGGTATTACCAACAAGTGTTTTTTTTTGAAAAAAAGGAGGTAATGAAAAATGTAACTATACAAAATAAAATGATGATAGTTTTATGACTCAAATATTGTAATAATATATTTGATATTAAATCGTCGTTTTTTCCGTCACAGAAAAAAATTGTGTTTCATACACGGGAAAAATACTAGATTTTAGCTTTCCGTTCTTTGTCTCAACCTCAAGCTAAAATTTAGTACTTTTTCCCTTGTATAAATAACTATTTTACACCACTGACTTTTTTTTAATCACTCTGTATATATTCTGGAACATCATGCAAATATGTGTTTTAAAATTAATGTAAGTCGACCATCTGGTATGCTTCCTCATCCCGCAGCGCCTGTACGATGCTGTATTCGAAGTATTTCCATCAAAGAAGGGTCTCTTGTCTAGCGCCTGTCCTTCGGTTTAGCCCTGTGTCAAAATAATTTACGAGCAAGACCGAAATTTTTGCTAGATTGAGGTTAAGCGGAGGAACTAGACAACTACTAATATTCTGGCTGTTCTCAGTGAATAACGATCTCTCCGGTCTGGGGGGGTAACTCGTCACTCCCAGATTTGATGAAATAACTGTTAACCGTGTTTTCAAAGATGAGTCATGCATTTTAACAGCTCAAAAAGTTTCATAACACTGATCAACAGCCAAAAAATATCCTAAATAAAATCAACAAAATATTACTATTTTTAATGTGCTAAAACCGGAATGAAACTTATTTTTTCAATATTAGTTCAAGTTTTAGAGATACGGTAATTATGTGTTCCTGCTGTGACAGTGTTAATATACTGTAATTAACAAGAATGCACGTGCTACATTTTTATATTCGGCAAGGAAAGATGATGTAATCGGCATGATTGTGTTACGTTATACATACGTGTACATTATATTGTTTTATATTAGCCATTTTTTCCTCAGTTGGCTGACAGCGTTCATGCAAGATGTCTCGAAAGTGTGTAAACAATCCAGATCAGTTTTGTTACGTGTGTGGTGATGTGACTTTTGCGTCTCAGAGACGGTCTATTACTCTACTAATAACAAAGGCATATCAGCTTTATTTCGGTTGTAAACTAGGTGATCAAGACAAACAGTGGGCACCCCATATCTGCTGTAATACGTGTGCTTCAAGTCTGAGGAGCTGGTTAAATGGCAAAAAACGGTCTATCCGCTTTGCTGTCCCAATGGTTTGGAGAGAGCCTACAAATCATATTAATGATTGTTACGTTTGCATGGTACCTTGTGTTGGACAAGCCACAGGTATGTCCAAGAAAAAAAAATCGGTTATTAACTACCCAAACATACCATCTGCGATGAGACCTGTGCCTCACAGTGACGAAAATCCTATTCCAAAACCAACAGAATACTACACTTGCGAATCAGAAAACGAATCAGATCATGGCGATCGAGTGATTCGTCAGGAAGAAGATATGCCACCAACGTCAAGAGATCCTGATTTTATACCGAGCACGTCATGCCACCAACCGCACAAAATAACACAGTCAGAATTGAATGATCTTGTAAGAGATTTAGAACTTCCAAAATGTAAGGCAGAGTTACTTGGATCAAGACTGCAGCAGTGGAACTTGTTAGAAGACGAACCATTTTTCAATATGGAGAATAATTTGGTTTTCTGCAGTAACATTAACGGCTTACTGGCGGCTTTTAATATAAACTATAACCCAGAAGAATGGAGATTGTTTATAGACAGTTCAACATGAGTTTAAAGGCAGTGTTATTGCATATTGGAAATATTTTACCATCTCTTCCTGTAGGGTATGCAGTTCACATGAAAGAATCATATGACAATATGAAGTACCAATTGACATGCATAAAATACGATCAGCATCAATGGCATATTTGTGGCGATTTGAAAGTTGTTGCACTTTTACTTGGGCTGCAGCTAGGCTACACAAAGTTTTGCTGTTTTTTGTATGAATGGGACAGTCGGGCAAAGGCACTTCATTACACCAGACAAAACTGGCCTGTTCGTCAATTCCTAGAGCCAGGTCAAAAAAATGTACAGCATATGCCATTAGTAGATTCGAAAAAAAATTTATTACCACCACTGCATATCAAGTTGGGCCTAATGAAAAACTTTGTCAAGGCATTAGATAGAGATGGGTCAGCTTTTCAATACCTGCGTCAGAAATTTCCAAGACTAAGTGAGGCAAAGGTTAAAGAAGGTATTTTTGTTGGGTCACAGATTCGAAACATTTTGAAAGATACACAGTTTGAAAACACTTTAACAGGTATTGAAAAAACTGCTTGGAATGATTTCCGTCTAGTGGTCACTAATTTCTTGGGAAATAGAAAAGCTGACAACTATAAAACCCTTGTCAAAAATATGCTGTCATCGTATCAAGAGATAGGCTGTAATATGTCTCTTAATACATTTCCTACACTCACACCTGGACTTTTTTCCTGACAATTGCGGAGCCGTAAGTGATGAGCACGGCGAACGTTTTCATCAGGATATTTCAACAATGGAAAAAAGGTACCAGGGAAAGTGGAATCCTTCCATGCTTGCAGACTACTGTTGGACTCTTGGTAGATATGCTCCAGAAACGATCCGTAAAAGAACAGCAAAAAGACAGCGCATATAGTGATTCTTATAAGTATATGAATCTTGTTACTTTTTTTAATATATCCTTAAAAATAAAAATTTTTTTTCTAAACCGCAACTAATTTTTTTATTTCATTGCCATTTTTGGATTCAGCGCCCCAAAATTATCAAAGTGCACTTTTCCCACAAGATACAATTAAAAAACTAAAATTTGTTGTATAGTTTAATAAGGGAGTTAACTTACATTATAAAAAATTATTTCAAAAAAATCATTATCTAGTTAGATGGATATCGTTTTTACAAAAACTGTTCAGAATTGCCCCCATTTGTTAGATTAAAATTTAAATAAATTTCACCGGCTATTGAGGGCTCTAAGCAGAAGTGGTTCTGTGCATTTCGATATGTATTTTCTTTACTACTGTTGATTGTTTTATTCAATGAAGAAGGAACCCGAATAAAAGTAGTGTTATGTTCTTCTGCATGTTTTGAAAATTATTTGTTGGTGCTTGTGAGTTTTTGCTGCTTTCTTTTTATAACTATTGTTGCTGAATATTTACATAAATATGCGAAGTGAATTTGACTCTCAAGTAGTTCAGCTATTGGAGGGTTCAGGAACCCAAAAACATAACCTTATGTCCGATCATTACTTTGCCACATTAACTGAAATTAAGGAAGAACATTTGTTAAAAGCCAAATCAAAACCTCTATCTGCTAAACAGTATAGAAGAATTAAGCACTTTGATATAAGTAAAAGAAGATTCTGATGCTATACTAGATTTTGTTTCGACTGATGAACTGTTTCCGATCATTCACCAGGCACATCTCGCTACAGGTCATAAGCGTCGTAAACGTTTGTTTAGCATAATAATTTAATTTTTTTGTTATTACGTGCAAATGTGTACTTTGTTTCAGGATTGGAAGTGGAGCTAAGAAAGAGTATGCAAAGACTACTTTAACATATATGTACCTAAAATTGTGTGAAACCTCTCAATTGAAGAAAACTGCTCATAAGAAAGGCAAGTTAGCAACGAATATGGAATATGGTCAACGTTACTGTGATATAAATGCGAGCCGCGAAAAAGCCAAGAGAGGTTTGGAAGTACAAGCCGATTCAATGCTCGCACAATCAAATAAAAAGTTTAAACCAGCACTAGTTGGAGACAATGTTCTTGTACCAATTCCAGAGATAGATCGTGGAAGAGCAGCACCAAGAAACGTAATGGCAGTTGTATAATCTGTTGATGATGGAGTTTACAAATTAGCAACAAAAGCTGGAGTTTTACAAAGACTTTCTTGTAGAAATGCATTTCAATTGGCTGACAATAACATTTTTATAGGCATCTGTACGGTTGACAGCAAGAAAAAAATATCACTTAGAACTGCATCTTCGGATATATCTGGATCTACGCAAGGATTTATTTTATGCATGTGCAATAAAAAATGTACGACCAAACATGTTCTTGTCGTAAAAAGAATGTAATCTGCAATTCCAAATGTCATCATTCAAGTTCTTGCTCAAATAAATAATTATTGATTGATATCATTATTGATTAATATTTGTTTAGAATAAAGTTTTATTTTTTATTATGTTTGTATCAGAATTTAAATAAAATGTATTTAAAAAATGTTGAGGATAGGTAAGCAAAGCAATTCAACTCGCAGTGGTCTTCGGTTCAGAACAGTTTATTGAGTACTTGTACATGAATGTGTAGATACGTGACACGTGCATACCTGGCTTCCGCGTTCCGCGATCCGCGCGCGTGCGTTGACTGTTGTTCTTCAACTGATTCCTACGACTGACTCTTTACGACTGACTGCATTCCTAATTCCTAGTGCAGCCCACGTGGACCGACGGCTGTTACAAGCTTCAAGGTTAGGCGACGTGTCTGGCCTTGGGCGACCTGCGGTACTGGACATAGCCATCCTCCGCAACATCAGAGAGGAGTTCGAGATAGAGACCCTGGTGGAAGGATCGTCGGACCACAATCCGATTCTACTAACACTTGGCACAGGGTCTAGAACTCAAGATAGCTTGAGCACCAAACGGACGAACTGGAACCTGTACAAATCCAACGTCCAAAGGAACATCACTCAAATTCCAACCATCCGATCAGTGGAGGAACTGGACAACGCGGTAGAGGAGCTGGAGAATGCTGTCCTGCGAGCGCACCTAAATGGTCCAGCACAGCACCATATTAGGCACCTGATCAGGGAGAACAGAAGACTCAAGCGAGAACATCTCCAGCTGTTGACAGAGGAGTCGAGAGTTGCGCGAAACAGAGCATCGCTAGCTCTGAAGAACACACTCGCGGAACTACAAAACAGCAGATGGAATGCAGCCTGTGCAGAACTAGAGACCCAGGATGGTACGGCCTGGACTATGCAGCGAAAATTCCGTCGTCAGCGCACCACGATCCCCACTCTTCACTGCCAACACGGCTTGGCCTACTCCAGTGAAGAAAAAGCCGAAGCATTCGCCGATTCGCTAGAATCCGAATGCAGACTCAATTACCATGAAGACGAGGACGACAACCACGAGGAGGCCGTGGAAGTCGCAGCCGAAATCATGAGGAGTCGACGACCTGGCCAGGAGACGGATCACCCCTCCAGTCCAGAGGAAATCCGTCTGATCATCCGCAGGTTGAAGGTCAGAAAGGCGCCGGGAAGGGACGGCATCAACAATAGGATGCTGAAGAACCTTCCCACCAAAGGCATTGCTGCGCTCACCAACATCGCCAATGCCACTCTGAGACTTAACCACTTTCCGCGGCGGTGGCGGGAAGCCCAGGTTATAATGCTCACCAAGCCAGGCAAGGACCGGAAGTTGCCCCAGAACTACCGGCCCATCAGCCTGGTTTCCTCGATGGGCAAAGTAGTCGAAAAGGCTATCGCCGTTCGACTAGAGAAGCACAACACGTAACTCCAAGCGCTTCGACTGACGGAAAACATCACCAGCGGCTTCAATCTCCAGGAGGCGTCCTGCTGGACGTGGAACGAGCCTTCGTTCGAGTTTGGCACGATGGACTCATCGCCAAAATGGAAGCCGCCGGAATCGATGCAAACATGTGCCAACTGATCCAGAGCTATCTAACACAAAGATGGTTCACGGTGAAGATTGGTACATGCCACTCAACAAGACGACAGCTGGAAGCAGGCGTGCCCCAGGAGTCAGCCTTAGCCCCCCTGCTCTACAACATCTATACTCACGATGTGCCGAAGACAGCTGACACAATGCTGGCCCTATATGCAGACGACACTGCTATAGCCGCCAAGCATAGACGGCCCGAGATCATCCGTAGGAGACTACAGGATGAACTGGACCACATCCAGGACTGGTACGTGAAATGGAAAATCCGCATCAACGTCCAGAAGATGCAGACAATCTTCATTCAACGAAGAAGGATTGCAAGACCTCTCGAAGCATCCATCTTCGACGAAGATATCCAGTGGAGCGACAAAGTCAAATATCTGGGGATCGTATTTGACAAGTCCCTCACCTGGAAAGCCCACATAGAAGCTGTCACCGCAAAGACCAGAGCAGCCATGGCTCAACTCTACCCATTACTGGGTAGACACAGCCGGATGCCGCTAGCGACCAAGCTACGGCTGATCAAGGCCATCGCCAGACCTCAGCTCGCTTAACGCCTCCGCGGTCTGGGGGTACGCTGCCCCCAGCTACCGCAAGCGACTTGCTGCTCTAGAGATGAAGCTACTCCGGATCGCCACTAGTGCACCATCCTACGTAAGAAACTCAACCTTGCGTAGAGACCTGCATTGGGACACCATCCACGAGTACATGAGGAAAAAAGCGGAGAAGACCTTCGAGAAAGCTCAGGACCACCCGAACGAGCAGCTACGATTCCTCATGGACTACGATCCGGACGAGAGGCCTCGCAACCGCAGAACCAGGTACCCTAGACCAAGGTCCCAGTTGGCACCCGCTAACTGGAACCTTGACAAGGAGACTAGGAGAACCCGCGGTTGCTCCCCCCTCCCCCCCCACGGCGTGGATGCAGATGACCAGGAACCACCGGGACCAGGACCCACCGGGACCAGGACCAACCAGGACCAGGACCCGCCACGAGCAGGACCCACCAGGACCAGGACCCTTCAGGACCAGGACCATGAACAACATATTGGTAAGAGGACTTGAAACTCTTGATTTTTCGAAAACAAGAGTTTCAAGAGAACCTAGCAGACCCTCTATCGATGATCGCTTAACGACATCGATAGAAGGGAACCAACCCGGCGTTCCCAGAGACTGAAACACATGAGGAGACGTTGTAGCAGACCGCAGGTCACGCACAACACATGGCCTACCGAGACGCTGATGAGTCGGGCCACGCGGAGGTTTAGGGTTTAGTGGGTATTAGGTGGTCTCCTCAAGACCCTGGAGTCCCACACACGCCGTAGCTCGGGCTATGGTATGGTGCGTAAATGCATTCCCCCCTCACCAAAAAAAAAAAAAAAAAACGTGTCTGGTCGTCACGCCAGTAGCGGCGTGGCAGGGTGACGAAAATACGAAAACCGTTTTCCGAATCGGCGAATACCGAGTCATCGAGTATTTGCTTCTGTGTACTAACGCGACAAGGAGAGTGGACAGGTTCATGAGACACGTCATGATGCTGGTAAACCTTGGTTGTTTGACGACGAAGATCGAGAGGCAATACTGGAATGCTACGGCAGAGACCCGACGACGTCTACACGAGTTATAGCAAAGCAGCTTGGTTTAACTCAGTGGAAAGTTTGGTTCGTTTTGCATTCGGTTTCCATTACACACCGGTGCAAGTATTAGAAGAAGGAGATCCCGCAAGAAGAATTGATTTTTGTCGATACATGCTTCATCGGGATCAAGAAGAAAACGACTATTTAACTAAAATATTGTGGACCGACGAGTCTAAGTTTGACAGAGAGGGGACAACAAATTATCACAACTTACATTATTGGGCCCCACGAGAGGCAAATCCCCACATGGCAAAGCCAAGAACCCATCAAAGAAGATTTTAGGCAAACGTGTTTATGGGAATCATTCATACGTATCTAATTGGACCAGTTTTTTTGCCTGACAACCTGAATGGCGAATCCTATGAAAACTTTTTGAGATCCGAACTCTGTATTTCGAAGACCTGCCTCTGAATATCAGGATGCAGATGATCTACCAACACGATGGCTGTCCCGCGCATTTCCGTCTGGGTGTTAGACAGTGGCTGGACGAGAAATATCCTTGTCGCTGGATTGGCCGAGGTGGACCGACACCGTGGCCAGCGAGGAGCTCAGATCTAACACCGTGTGACTATTATTTATGGTGGCACATGAAGTCACTGGTGTACGCTGAGCCCATAGACACTCTTGAACAGTTGAAAGAAAGAATTATTGCTGCTGCTGACACTATCAGAGGACATGACATGAGAAAAAGACTACGGGCTTGCATAAGAAACGGCGGGCGTCAGTTCGAACAATGAATTTTACCTTCATTTCATTATTGTATTTTACTTACCAATTGTAGTAACTTTTAGTCAGTTTTTATTATACTGTAGTACAATTACAACTGTGTAAATAATCTAATCGTGTAACTTAACCGTAGTTTAAAATAATAACTATCCCATACCTTACAGTTACATTATTTTCACAAAGACACTTTCTTATCAATCAGAGAGTTGTGAAAATAGGAGACAAGCCATTGGTAAATTTACTCCCTTTTGTTGTATTACAATACATTATGTTTAGTTTCACACAGTTTTTGTGAACCAATTTAGATTCCTTATGAAACAAGGATATTATTTAAATTGTTTATACGTTTTTTTGTATACTGATTTTTTTGTAAAACACGTTACTTACTGTAAAACGTTATTTGTTATATAGTTAAACATTTTTGAATGAAAATAAATACGTTGTTTGGTATTGTTTTCGAATCTTTTTTAATTTATAATAGTTAATTATTGAAATAATAACCCAAAACCACAAAAAACAAATGTTTAATCGCCAACTTTTTTCTCTCTAGACTTTTTTACTCTGAAATATGGATTGTTTTTAAAAAAATCTTAAATCTTACTACATAACTTTATAACCTTTGAATATAGGGTATGGTATTATATACTAATTTCGATAGCAAAGGGGCTGTACTATCACCGCCTAAAATGTTTTCACCTATTTACCTGTCACCCTGTATAAAAAGCTGCGGGCCTAACCCAAAACAAGCAACTAAAGCTCTTATGCGGCTGATCATACAGCCGA